GTATAATAGACAGTTAAAGTGCAAATTTAATTTAAACAGTAAACTTTGTTGTATAAATCATTAGTTATTGTTAAAAATGGTTTTAAAAATGACATTTCTACTAAAAATGAGTTGTACAAAGTCCAGCTAATAAAAGTTTCATTTTTAATTAGTTATATTTAGAACACATTGTAAAATACACAGTTAAAGTGCAAATTTAGTTTAAACAGTTAACTTCATTGTATATAATCATTAGTTATTGTTAAAAATGGTTTTAAAAATGACATTTCTACTAAAAGTGGATTGTACAAAGTCTAGCTAATAAAAGTTTCATATTTAATTAGTTAAATTTAGAGCGCATTGTATAATAGGCAGTTAAAGTGCAAACTTAGTTTAAACTTTGTTATATAATCATCAATTATTATTAAAAATAGTTTTAAAAATGATTAATAGCGGATTTAAAAATGACATTTTTACTAATAGTGGGTTGTATAAAGATCAGCTAACAAGAGTTTCATTTTTAATTAGTTATATTTAGAGGCAATTAAAGTGCAAACTTAGTTTAAACTGTGAACTTTGTTGTATAATCATCAGTTATTGTTAAACATGGTTTCAAAAATTACATTTCTACTAAGAGTACAAAGTTTAACTAACACGAGTTTCATTTTTAATTAGTTATATTTAGAGGCAGTTAAACTTAATTTAAACTGTGAACTTTGTTGTATAATCATCAATTATTGTTAGACATAGTTTTAAAAATGACATTTCTAGTAATAGCAGATTGTACAAAGTTTATTATTTATTAACAAAGATAGAAAACATAATAATATAGGAAAGTTAAAAATTAAAATTCAAAGAAAAGAAAAACAAAGAAACCCAAAAAAGAAGTTCGGTTATATCGCTGGAATTTAGAGTAGAAAAATAACAAATCTGTAAATATAAAGTACATTTAAGGATTTATTATTACTGTAATATTTGTTTATTTTAAAACAATACTAGTCAAATTTATATATATATATATATATATATATATATATATATATATATATATATATATATATATATATATATATAAAAAAGGAGACACTGTCCGAAAGTTTGTTTAAGTGTAATGTTGTTTTTATTTAAAATTTTATTCGATTGACTCAAATCCTTTCGCTCCTGATGAAGCTATTAAACAATGGCGAAATATTGAGCAAGTAAGGAAAAGAGTTTTATTTCTTAGGACCGCTAACCTGATATTATCGTCACTTAAATATATATATATATATTTCGAATGTCTTTACAACTGTTTGTATATGACTGATTGCACCAATATTTATAGACACATTTAAAATTCTGGTGGATTCCAGAATGCTCCCCGCCCAAACTAGAAACATTATCACGTCCATTCTAGAAAGTAATCGAAAGCGCTTTCACTATAGTCGTTACATATGTTTAATCTTAAGGAGTTTAATTAAAATAATCGGATAAGTTGAGCCTCAAAGGCCAAATAAGACAGAGAGGAACTTGGAGGATTAGAGCATGACTGAATAATGAAATGGCTCGCATTACACTACTGTTTATCTTTAATTTCAGTTAAGCATTGAAACAAGCTGGAGTTCTAGAGCAGTTATAACCGAATTTTAATTTATTTAAGTATTAAGTATTAAGTATTAAGTATTAAGAATTAAGTATTAAGAATTAAGTATTAAGAATTAAGTATTAAGAATTAAGTATTAAGAATTAAGTATTAAGAATTAAGTATTAAGAATTAAGTATTAAGAATTAAGTATTAAGAATTAAGTATTAAGAATTAAGTATTAAGAATTAAGTATTAAGTATTAGGTATTAAGTATTAAGTATTAAGTATTAAGTATTAAGTATTAAGTATTGAGTATTAAGTATTAAGAATTAAGAATTAAGTATTAAGTATTAAGTATTAAGCAGTATTAAGTAGTATTAAGTATTAAATATTTAAGTATTTAAGTATTTAAGTATTTAAGTATTTAAGTATTTAAGTATTTAAGTATTTAAGTATTTAAGTATTTAAGTATTTAAGTATTTAAGTATTTAAGTATTTAAGTATTTAAGTATTTAAGTATTTAAGTATTTAAGTATTTAAGTATTTAAGTATTTAAGTATTTAAGTATTTAAGTATTTAAGTATTTAAGTATTTAAGTATTTAAGTATTTAAGTATTTAAGTATTTAAGTATTTAAGTATTTAAGTATTTAAGTATTTAAGTATTTAGGTATTTAAGTATTTAAGTATTTAAGTATTTAAGTATTTAAGTATTTAAGTATTTAAGTATTTAAGTATTTAAGTATTTAAGTATTTAAGTATTTAAGTATTTAAGTATTTAAGTATTTAAGTATTTAAGTATTTAAGTATTTAAGTATTTAAGTATTTAAGTATTTAAGTATTTAAGTATTTAAGTATTTAAGTATTTAAGTATTTAAGTATTTAAGTATTTAAGTATTTAAGTATTTAAGTATTTAAGTATTTAAGTATTTAATTATTTAAGTATTTAAGTATTTAAGTATTTAAGTATTTAAGTATTAAATTATTTAAGTATTTATTTAAGTATTTAAGTATTTAAGTATTTAAGTATTTAAGTATTTAAGTATTTAAGTATTTAAGTATTTAAGTATTTAAGTATTTAAGTATTTAAGTATTTAAGTATTTAAGTATTTAAGTATTTAAGTATTTAAGTATTTAAGTATTTAAGTATTTAAGTATTTAAGTATTTAAGTATTTAAGTATTTAAGTATTTAAGTATTTAAGTATTTAAGTATTTAAGTATTTAAGTATTTAAGTATTTAAGTATTTAATTATTTGAATATTTAAGTAAAGTATTCTAAGTATTTGGGTATTTAAATATTGAAAGTATTGTAAGCATTTCGGTATTTAAGTATTGTAAGTATATGTATTTAAGTATATATGTATTTCTTTTTGAATTTTTGTATTTTCGTATATTTTTGTATTTTTTTCAGATTAAGCAACTAAAAATACAACTCTTTGGTATTGTTTTCTTTATAGCTTCGTTTTCAAAAAATAAAAGTGAAGCCTATACAATAAATAGATTTTTGTATTTATGTATTTTTTGTATTGTGTGAAATTTTGTATTGTGTAATTTTGCATTTTGTAATTGTGAATTTTGTAATTTTGTTATTTTGTAATTTTGTAATTTTGTAATTTTGTAATTTTGCAATTTTGTAATTTTGTAATTTTGTAAGTTTGTAATTTTGTAATTTTACAATTTTGTAATTTTGTAATTTTGTAATTTTGTAATTTTGTAATTTTGTAATTTTGTAATTTTGTAATTTTGTAATTTTGTAATTTTGTAATTTTGTAATTTTGTAATTTTGTAATTTTGTATTTTTGAATTTATTTTTGTATATTTGAATTTTTATTTTTAAATTTTTTTTATTTTTGATTTTTTGAATTTTCAAATTTTTGAGTATAATTAATCAATTTTCTGTTTTTTAAATTTTTAAATTTGAGATTTTGAACTTTTTGATTTTTGTAGTTTTGTATTTTTAATATTTGTATTTTTGAATTTACAAATTTTTTAAGTTAAGATTTTTGTATTTTTGATTTTTTAATATTTTTCTGTATTTTGTATTTTTATATTTTTTCAGATTAAGCAACTAAAAATACAACTCTTTTGTATTATGTGTTTTCTTCATAGTTTCGATTTTGAAAAAAAAAAAAAAAATAGAAGCCATTAAAACAAATTGATTTTTATTAACATCAAAAAATAATCTCGTCCAGTTGTCTTAAACTTAGCATTTACTTTTTTACTTAAAATTTGTAATACCACTGGTTTCAATAAGATTTTCTATTTTTTTTGTTGTAGATTTAGAAAATAAACATTCAACTTCAACAACTTTTATCATCTCATTTTTGCCACACTAAATCTACTTTTTAAGTCCAATCAAGCACTTATTTACCTACTTTGGACACCAATTCACAGTAATACTATTATTGTCCATAATAATTCTATTACATTTTATTTTACATTAATACCTGTACTATAAATTTGTACCTAAAACATTACAAATAATTCCCGGACTATAACATTCTTTTTTTATAAATTTAAAAACGATAAAATAAAGAATAAAGATTCAGTTTTATACCACCCTGTATTATTGTCCGTAATAATTTTATTTCATTTTATTTTACATTAATGTCTGGACTATAAATTTGCACCTAAAATATTACCAATAATTCCCGGACTATAACATTCTTTTTTTATAAATTTAAAGACGATAAAATAAAGAATAAAGATTCAGTTTTATACCACCCTGTATTATTATCCGTAATAATTGTATTTCATTTTATTTTACATTAATGCCTGGACTATAAATTTGTACCTAAAATATTACCAATAATTCCCGGACTGTAACATTCTTTTTTTATAAATTTAAAGACGATAAAATAAAGAATAAAGAATCAGTTTTATACCACCCTGTATTATTGTCCGTAATAATTGCATTTCATTTTATTTTACATTAATGCCTGGACTATAAATTTGTACCTAAAACATTACCAATAATTCCCGGACTATAACATTCTTTTTTTATAAATTTAAAGACGATAAAATAAAGAATAAAGAATCAGTTTTATACCACCCTGTATTATTGTCCGTAATAATTGCATTTCATTTTATTTTACATTAATGCCTGGACTATAAATTTGTACCTAAAACATTACCAATAATTCCCGGACTATAACATTCTTTTTTTATAAATTTAAAGACGATAAAATAAAGAATAAAGATTCAGTTTTATACCATAGTTAGGAAACACCCTGTATTCCAATACTTTGAAAGGATATTTATTTTTACAACTGGAGATCATTTTACTACAAGTCTTTTTTTTTCCAAAAAATAATAAAAATTGTTATTTTATTTTAATAATATTAATATTAAAATGACAATTATTTATTTTAATTTTTTTTTACTATATAGAATTAAAAAAAAAGATACTATCATGTTTTAATAACTAAATAAAAGTATTTTCAAGGGACTAAAGGGTTCTAAAGACAGATTAAAGTTATAACAAGAAGATCCAAAGGATAAACAAAAATACACTCACCAATATCTTCACATACAGCGCTGGTTGTATCGAGTTGCAAGAGGGTATTGGCTGTTAAAAGAGCCTTAGCACGTTCTACTTCAGCTTCTGTTACACTCGTGCACAATCTCATGAATTCCTGTTGGATATTGAACACCATATCATCAAGTTTCAGAGGATCTGATACGAAATACACACCCCATAATCCAGTATCCTAAAAATACAAATATTTGGGAGTATTATTATTTATTATAAAGATCACGACCTGCAAAAAATGTTGTAACACAGTGGCAAATTTTCATCTAAATCTACTCGAAATCGAGACTCACCTTGTAACAAGTATTAAAACTTTGATACGAATGACACAAGTCCCCTTCGCCGCTGGCTCTGGCTAAATTGGTGGCGTTTTGCTTAGCCGAAGCTTGCGATCTGTCCCAAGCTCCCAAAAGGGTCGAGGCGACCATCAAAGTCAAAGTATCCGGATCGGTCCATCCTGCACCTTCAACGGCTAAAGCGACGTGAGCTAGAGGGAGAGAATCGTCTCTAATTCGGATTTCTGAGCCGGTGAAACGACATGGTGCGATTTCGGGAACTTTTCCGGGATAGTTGTTGTCTATAATTAATACAAACCTTATAAGTACCACTTAAAATTTAATAAAAATTGATAGAAATTGATAGAGAAATTAATAAAAAATTAATAGAGAAATTAAATTAATAGAGACATTAATAGAGAAATTAATAAAGAAATTAATAGAGACAATAATAGATAAATTAATACATAAATTAATAGAGAAATTAATTAATAGAGACAATAATAGAGAAATTAATAAAGACAATAATAGATAAATTAATAGAAAAATTAATATAGAAATTAATAGAGAAATTAATAGACATTAATAGAAACAATAATAGAAACAATAATAGAGAAATTAATAGAATAATGAATAAAGAAATTATTAGAGAAATTAAAAGAGAAATTAATAGAGAAATTAATAAAGACATTAATAGAAACAATAAAAGATAAATTAATACATAAATTAATAGAAAAATTAATAGAGAAATTAAAAGAGAAATTAATAGAGAAATTAATAAAGAAATTAATAGAAACTAAAAAAAAATACTAGAAATTAATTGAGAAATTATTAATGAAATTAATAGAGAAATTAACAGAAATATAAATAGACATTAACAGAAACAATAATACAGAAATTAATAAAGAAATTAATAAAAATTAAAAAAATTACTAGAAATTGAGAAATTATTAAAGAAATTAATAGAGAAATTAATAGAGAAATTAAATTAATAGAGAAATTATTAGAGAAATGAACAGAGAAATTATTGGAGAAATTAACAGAGAAATTAATTAAAAAAATTAATAGAGTTAAGACATTAATAGACAATAATAGATAAATTAATACATAAATTAATAGAGACAATAATAGATAAATTAATTAATAGAGACAATAATAGAGAAATTAATCGAGAAATTAATCGAGAAATTAATAGAGAAATTAAATAAATAGAAATTAAATTAATAGATATTAATAGAGACAATAATAGAGAAATTATTAGAGAAATTAATAAAGACATTAATAGAGACAATCATAGATAAATTAATACATAAATTAATAGAGAAAATAATAGAGAAATTAATAAAGAAATTAATAGAGAAATTAATGGAAAAATTAATAGAGAAATTAATAGAGAAATTAAAAGAGAAATTAATAGATAAATTAATAGATAAATTAATAGATAAATTAATAGATAAATTAATAGATAAATTAATAGATAAATTAAGAGAAATTATTAGAAACAATAATAGAGAAATTAACAGAGAAATTAATAGAGAAATTAATAAAGAAATTAATAGAAATTAAAAGAAATTACTAGAATTTAATTGAGACATTAAAGAAATTAATAGAGAAATAAAATTAATAGAAATTACTAGAAATTAATAAAGAAATTATTAGAAAAATTATTAAGAAATTAAATTAATAGAACTCACTAAAAATTAATAAATTAATAGAAATTAAATTAATAGAAATCACTAGAGAAATTAATAGAGAAATTAATAGAGAAATTAATGGAAAAATTAATAGAGAAATTAAAAGAGAAATTAATAGATAAATTAATAGATAAATTAATAGATAAATTAAGAGAAATTATTAGAAACAATAATAGAGAAATTAATAAAGAAATTAATAGAGAAATTAATAAAGAAATTAATAGAGAAATTAATGGAAAAATTAATAGAGAAATTAATAGATAAATTAATAGATAAATTAATAGATAAATTAAGAGAAATTATTAGAACAATAATAGAGAAATTAACAGAAAAATTAATAGAGAAATTAATAGAGAAATTAATGGAAAAATTAATAGAGAAATTAAAAGAGAAATTAATAGAGAAATTAATAGATAAATTAATAGATAAATTAATAGATAAATTAATAGATAAATTAAGAGAAATTATTAGAAACAATAATAGAGAAATTAACAGAGAAATTAATAGAGAAATTAATAAAGAAATTAATAGAAATTAAAAGAAATTACTAGAATGTAATTGAGACATTATTAAAGAAATTAATAGAGAAATTAAATTAATAGAAATTACTAGAAATTAATAAAGAAATTATTAGAAAAATTATTAAGAAATTAAATTAATAGAACTCACTAAAAATTAATAAATTAATAGAAATTAAATTAATAGAAATCACTAGAGAAATTAATAGAGAAATTAATAGAGAAATTAATAGAGAAATTAATGGAAAAATTAATAGAGAAATTAAAAGAGAAATTAATAGATAAATTAATAGATAAATTAAGAGAAATTATTAGAAACAATAATAGAGAAATTAATAGAGAAATTAATAAAGAAATTAATAGAGAAATTAATAAAGAAATTAATAGAGAAATTAAAAGAGAAATTAATAGATAAATTAATAGATAAATTAATAGATAAATTAATAGATAAATTAATAGATAAATTAAGAGAAATTATTAGAACAATAATAGAGAAATTAACAGAAACATTAATAGAGAAATTAATAAAGAAATTAATAGAGAAATTAATGGAAAAATTAATAGAGAAATTAAAAGAGAAATTACTAGATAAATTAAGAGAAATTATTAGAAACAATAATAGAGAAATTAACAGAGAAATTAATAGAGAAATTAATAAAGAAATTAATAGAAATTAAAAGAAATTACTAGAATTTAATTGAGACATTATTAAAGAAATTAATAGAGAAATTAAATTAATAGAAATTACTAGAAATTAATAAAGAAATTATTAGAAATATTATTAAGAAATTAAATTAATAGAACTCACTAAAAATTAATAGAAATTAAATTAATAGAAATCACTAGAAAAATTAATAGAGAAATTAATGGAAAAATTAATAGAGAAATTAAAAGAGAAATTAATAGATAAATTAATAGATAAATTAAGAGAAATTATTGGAAACAATAATAGAGAAATTAACAGAAATTAATAGAGAAATTAATAAAGAAATTAATGGAAAAATTAATAGAGAAATTAATAGATAAATTAATAGATAAATTAATAGATAAATTAATAGATAAATTAATAGATAAATTAATAGATAAATTAATAGATAAATTAATAGATAAATTAATAGATAAATTAATAGATAAATTAATAGATAAATTAATAGATAAATTAATAGATAAATGAATAGATAAATGAATAGATAAATTAATAGATAAATTAATAGATAAATTAATAGATAAATTAATAGATAAATTAATAGATAAATTAATAGATAAATTAATAGATAAATTAATAGATAAATTAATAGATAAATTAATAGATAAATTAATAGATAAATTAAGAGAAATTATTAGAAACAATAATAGAGAAATTAACAGAGAAATTAATAGAGAAATTAATAAAGAAATTAATAGAGAAATTAATGGAAAAATTAATAGAGAAATTAAAAGAGAAATTAATAGATAAATTAAGAGAAATTATTAGAAACAATAATAGAGAAATTAACAGAGAAATTAATAGAGAAATTAATAAAGAAATTAATAGAAATTACTAGAATTTAATTGAGACATTATTAAAGAAATTAATAGAAATTAAATTAATAGAAATTACTAGAAATTAATAAAGAAATTATTAGAAAAATTATTAAGAAATTAAATTAATAGAACTCACTAAAAATTAATAAATTAATAGAAATTAAATTAATAGAAATCACTAGAGAAATTAATAGAAATCACTAGAGAAATTAATAGAAATCACTAGAGAAATTAATAGAGAAATTAAAAGAAATTACTAGAATTTAATTGAGAAATTATTAAAGAAATTAATAGCGAAATTAATAGAGAAATTAAATTAATAGAAATTACTAGAAAAATTATTAAAGAAATTATTAGAAATTAAATTAATAGAAATCACTAAAAATTAATAAATTAATATAAATCATTAGAAATAGAGAAATTAATAGTTATAGAAATTAATAGAAAAATTAATAGTAATAGAAATTAATAGAGAAATTAATAGAGAAATTAATAGTAATAGAAATTAATGGAAATTAATAGAAATTAATAGAAATCAATAGAAATCAATAGAAATTAATAGAAATTAATAGAAATTAATAGAAATTAATAGAAATTAATAGAAATTAATAGAAACTAATAGAAATTAATAGAAATTAATAGAAATTAATAGAAATTAATAGAAATTAATAGAAATTAATAGAAATTAATAGAAATTAATAGAAATTAATAGAAATTAATAGAAATTAATAGAAATTAATAGAAATTAATAGAAATTAATAGAAATTAATAGAAATTAATAGAAATTAATAGAAATTAATAGAAATTAATAGAAATTAATAGAAATTAATAGAAATTAATAGAAATTAATAGAAATTAATAGAAATTAATAGAAATTAATAGAAATTAATAGAAATTAATAGAAATTAATAGAAATTAATAGAAATTAATAGAAATTAATAGAAATTAATAGAAATTAATAGAAATTAATAGAAATTAATAGAAATTAATAGAAATTAATAGAAATTAATAGAAATTAATAGAAATTAATAGAAATTAATAGAAATTAATAGAAATTAATAGAAATTAATAGAAATTAATAGAAATTAATAGAAATTAATAGAAATTAATAGAAATTAATAGAAATTAATAGAAATTAATAGAAATTAATAGAAATTAATAGAAATTAATAGAAATTAATAGAAATTAATAGAAATTAATAGAAATTAATAGAAATTAATAGAAATTAATAGAAATTAATAGAAATTAATAGAAATTAATAGAAATTAATAGAAATTAATAGAAATTAATAGAAATTAATAGAAATTAATAGAAATTAATAGAAATTAATAGAAATTAATAGAAATTAATAGAAATTAATAGAAATTAATAGAAATTAATAGAAATTAATAGAAATTAATAGAAATTAATAGAAATTAATAGAAATTAATAGAAATTAATAGAAATTAATAGAAATTATTAAAAACTAATTATTGACTTTTAAGGTATTCAAAACGGCGCCTGGTAAAGATAATACGCCAGATGCTGGTGAAAAAATGCAAATATTGCCAAAGTGGAGTAGATAAAGCTTATGTAAAATGTAATAATTGTAAATCTATATATCACCAGTCTTGTTCGCTAAGATTAAGTGAAATGATAGTGGTTAATGGAAATAAATCAATAATTCAGTATCCGACTCGTGCTAAAAATGTGAGTGATCATGAATTGAACACAGCTGTAAGTGAAGCTATTAAATCTAAAGACCTAGAAATTCAAACCCTTAAAGAACAGTTAGTTGACATAGAAAAGGCTTACAAGGCTCTAGAATCCGCGATAATTACATCACCGCAAAAATTAGAAAATCAAAACAATATCGAGTGCTGCCAAAATGGCGGGAATGTCGAAAACTGTTGAAAAAAGACGTAGAGTGTTTCAATCGCGAATGTAAGATAGAGAACGTAATATAGAGAAAAATAAGTCAGATTTAATTGAGATGGTTCTAGGGGTTCCTCAGGACTCTGTACTGGGGCCGTCATTGTTTATTATCTATATTAACAAAATTGATGATTTAACCAGCACAGAGACCCAGAGGTATTTAAACTTTGAAGACGACACAAATGTGGTCAATGTCGCTGAAATATTACTTGATTTAGAAAAAGAAACAAAGAATGTATTTTTCAATGAAGCCCATAGATGTACTCAACCTTGAGACTGTCAGAGGTATTTGGGAGTAATTCTTGACCCTAAGTTATCTTGGAAAAAATCCACTGAGCAACTAACAAAAGAATTATGTTCCGGAGCTCACTTGTATACAATTTTACAAAAAAAGTTCTTCTTGATGTATTTCACGCAACATCTAGTGGTAGAATATTTAGATTACAGTAACTTTATCTTCGGCCAATCACAATGGCCTCTTCCAATGAACATTTAACCAATTCAAAAAAATTTTGGTCAAAAATTCGAATTTAAAAAAAAGGGGGGGATGTAATGAAGCTCATTTCAGTCATATTTCGATTTTTTTCGATACAACCATGTCAAAAAATTAACAAAAATCGAAAAAAAATTCCGCGATTTTCGGTCCTGGGCCAGGGGGAGTTTGAAGGAGGCGGGAGGGGTACCTATAAATTTTTTATACGACCCAAGGGTTTGCCATACGAAGCCCGATTTTTGAATTTTTTTTACTCCCCTCAAAAAAATGATGGGAACAAAAGAAAGGAAATAAAAAATACAAAATAGTAGAAGATAGTGAATCTTCAACAGCAGAGATGGTCACCTTAATGTGAAATTATCCTAGTAAAAACTAATTATTGACATTTAATAATCAACGTTTCAGAATTTCCAGCAAAATGGGATCCGGTCAGCTAATACTTTTATAAACAAATAATTTATTGAAATGCAAAATACTTACTTAGTGAACCAAGTGCTTGTTCAGTCAGTTTCACCAATTCATCATGATTGATACCTCCAGCACCTGCCACAACAACCCTAGATGCTTTATAATGGTTGTCAAGATAGCTCCTAAGGTCCTTCGCATTGATCGATCTTATATTAGCAGTAGGCCCTAAATTAAATAAACTTTCAATTCTACATTGTTCCCGCACACTTAACGAATCTTACCCAAAATTGTGTTAGCCAACGGGGTTCCTTGATAAGCAGTGGAATGTAGATGATCAAATACAACCTCTTGCAAGTTAGACTCAACTTCTTGCATCTCTCTTAAAATTACCCCACGTTCGCGTTCAATCTCCGATTCTCCAAGTTTGGCATTTTGAATGATGTCAGCCAATATTTCGATGGCTTTCGGTACATCTTTAGCCAAACATTTGGAGTAGTATACGGTTTGTTCTCTGCTGGTGTAAGCGTTAAGTTGCGCACCTAAATCTTCGATTTCAATTTCCAATTGGCCTTGAGTTCTTTTACTAGTGCCCTATGTAAGTAAATATACCATAAAGATACTAAGATAAATAATACATCAATTCAAATTACGTATTTTTTTCAATGGGGAAAATATACCTATGGTTAGGTTAGATAGATATTTACATCTATCTAACCTAACCATAGGTGTATTTTCCCCATTGAAAAAAATACGTAATTTGAATTGCAGTCCACGGTCCGACCAGTCGGTGTTTAATCTATATATACCGGGTGTTTAAATTAAAGTTTTACAATTAAATACCTAGGGTTAGGTACCTAAATCTTCGATTTCAATTTCCAATTGGCCTTGGGTTCTTTTACTAGTTCCCTATGTAAGTAAATACACCATAAAAGATACTAATAGGAGACTAATGAATGCATTTTTAAATTGGAATTGATCAAAATTGTATATTTGGTGATTATACATAAAAAGAAGGCACTAAAATGGCAAAAAATTATCCTCAAAACATTCGAATCAATAAATATGAACAAACATAAAAAGAACTCAAACTCTGTGCTGTGCTGAGCAGCCTAGGTATTTTTTTCAATGGGGAAAATACACCTATGGTTAGGTTAGATAGATGTAAATATCTATCTAACCTAACCATAGGTGTAAATATCTATCTAACCTAACCATAGGTGTATTTCCCCATTGAAAAAAATACCTAGATGTAAATATCTATCTAACCTAACCATAGGTGTATTTCCCCATTGAAAAATATATACCTATGGTTAGGTTAGATAGATATTTACATCTATCTAACCTAACCATAGGTGTATTTTCCCCATTGAAAAAAATACCTAATTTGAATTGCAGTCCACGGTCCGACCAGATTTTATGTCCAGTCGGTGTTTAATCTATATATACCGGGTGTTTAAATTAAAGTTTTACAATTAAATACCTACGGTTAGGTACCTAAATCTTCGATTTCAATTTCCAATTGGCCTTGGGTTCTTTAACTAGTTCCCTATGTAAGTAAATACACCATAAAAGATACTAATAGGAGACTCTGTGCTATGCTGAGCAGTCTAGGTTGCCCCACAAGCTCTATTTTTTAAATAAACTCCAGATTTGCTCTAAACCCTCAACTAGGCTGTATTACTTAATATTTGGCTTCAAAAAGTACAAATAAATCTAGAACTAGATAGCAAAAAATGTAATTTTGCAAAAAAAAATAAAAAAAAAATCAACTATAAAGCAACATAGATTCATTGCAAGTTGCTCCACAAACTCTATTTTTAAATATACTCCAAATTTGCTCTAATTATATACAAAAAATTATCCTCAAAACACTCAAATCAATAAATATGAACAAAAATAATAAAAACTCAAAGATACTTTATAAGTATCTTAGATACTAAAAAGTATTTAAGATACTGTACCTTTAAATCAAAATTTTGGAGGAAATACAGGAAACAAAAAATTTAAATAAATAAAAATAATTACAATTTAAAAAAAATAAATAAAATTAGGTAAATTATTAAAAATAATATATAATAATGTAAAAGAAAATAAATAAAAATGAATAAAAATAAAAAATATTCATTTTTATTTACTTATAATGAGTGAATAAAAAATAAATAAATAAAAAAACAAATATTTTTTATTTTTATTCATTTTTTTTATTTATTTTTGTTTAATTTCTATTTTTAATAAATTATTTATTTTTATTTATTTTATCATTTTTATTTATTTTTTTTAATTTACCTATTTTTATTTTTATATATTTTTTTTTAATTTACCTATTTTTATTTATTAATTTTTTATATTTATTTTTATTTTTATATTTTTTTTTTAATTTACCTATTTTTATTTATTAATTTTTTATATTTATTTTTATTTTTTTAATATTTTTATTTAGTTCTTTTTTTGTTTAACAATGGTTATTAAGAATAAACAAATGAATACCGGGTTTAAATAATTATGAAAACACAAGTCTCGACCTAAAGGGAATGAAATCTTAAAAGCTTAAAACAATACTGTCTAATATTATGCAATGTATTTCAGCACTAAATGGATGGCGGCGTTGCCGGCTCTCGCTTATAGCCGATCATCTTGTTACAAAACATAATAAAAAATAAATAAAATTAAACAAAAATAAATAAATAAATAAAAATAATTAAAAATAAAAATAAAAAAAAATAAAATAAAAATAAATATAATTACAAAATAGTTAAAAAAAATTAAATAAAAATAGGTAATTCATTAAAAATAAAAATTAAACAAAAATAAATGAAAAGATAAATAAAATATTAATTTTTATTTATTTATAAAAAATAAATAATGAAATTTAAAAAATAAACAAAAATTTAAATCAAAAAAACAATAAATAGTTAAAAAAATTAAAAATAACAAATAATAAAAAATAAATGCAAAGATAAATGTAAAAGAAAATAAATAAATAAAAATAAATAAATATAAATAAAAACAAATAAAAATAAATAAAAAAAATTAAAATATAAACAAAAATTTAAAATAAATAAAAATAATTACAATTTAAAAAAATAAAATTAGGTAAATTATTAAAAATAATATAATAAAGTGTAAAAGAAAATAAATAAAAATAATTAAAAAAAAAAACAATAAAAAAATAAATAAAAATAATTACAAATGGTTAAAAAATAAAATAAAATAGGTAATTTATTAAAAACAGAAATTAAACAAAAATAAATAAAAATAAATAAAAATGAATAAAAATTAAATAAAAATAAAAAATATTCATTTTTATTTACTTATAATGAATGAATAAAAAATAAATAAATAAAAAATAAAAACTAAAAAAAAAAATAAAAATGAATATTTTTTATTTTTATTCATTTTTTTTTATTTACTTTCTTTTACATTTATTTTTCATTTTTTTTTTAATTTTTTTTTTTTAGTTTTTATTTATTTTTTATTCATTCATTACAAGTAAATAAAAATTAATATTTTTTATTTTTATTTAATTTTTATTCATTTTTATTTATTTTTGTTTAATTTCTATTTTTAATAAATTACCTATTTTTATTTTTTTTTAACTATTTGTAATTATTTTTATTTATTTAAAAAAAAATGAATAATTTATTAAAAATAGAAATTAAACAGAAATAAATGTAAAAGAAAGTAAATAAAAAAATGAATAAAAATAAAAAATATTCATTTTTATTTTTTATTCCTTCATTATAAGTAAATAAAAATGAATATTTTTTATTTTCATTTAATTTTTATTCATTTTTATTTATTTTTGTTTAATTTCTATTTTTAATAAATTACCTATTTTTATTTTTTTTAACTATTTGTAATTATTTTTTAAAACAAATTAAATAAAAATGAATAATTTATTAAAAATAGAAATTAAACAAAAATAAATAAAAATAAATAAATAAAAATGAATAAAAATTAAATAAAAATAAAAAATTAAATAAAAATAAAAAATATTCATTTTTATTTACTTATAATGAATGAATAAAAAATAAATAAAAAATAAAAACTAAAAAAAAAATAAAAAAAAAAATAAAAAATAAATGATAAAAATAAAAATGAATATTTTTTATTTTTATTCTTTTTTTTATTTACTTTCTTTTACATTTATTTTTGTTTAATTTCTATTTTTAATAAATTATTCATTTTTATTTTTTTTAAATAAATAAAAATAATTACAAATAAAAAAAAATAAAAATGGGTAATTTATTAAAAATAAAAAATATTCATTTTTATTTACTTATAATGAATGAATAATAAAAAAAAATAAATAGGTAAATAAAAATGAATATTTTTTATTTTTATTCATTTTTTTTTATTTACTTTCTTTTACATTTATTTTTAATAAATTTTTGTTTAATTTCTATTTTTAATAAATTTTTATTTAATTTTTTTAAAAAACAAATAAAAATAATTACAAATAGTTAAAAAAAAATAAAAATAGGTAATTTATTAAAAATAGAAATTAAACAAAAATAAATAAATAAAAATGAATAAAAATTAAAAATATTCATTTTTATTTACTTAAGTATAATGAATGTATAAAAATAAATAAATAAATAAAAAAAAAAAAAAAAAAATAATAATTTTTCAGTTTTTATTAATTCATTCATTCTAAGTAAATAAAAATAAATATTTTTTATTTTTATTTATTTATTTTTAATTCTTTTTTATTTAATTTTTTTTAACCATTTTTAATTATTTTTATTTAATTTTATTTATTTTCTTTTCATTTAATTTTGTTCAATGTTATTTTATTTTTTTCTTTATTTATATTTATTTTATTATTTTTATTTATTTTCTTTTATACTTATATTTCATTTATTTTTGTTCAATTTTATTTATATATTTATATTTTTTTAATTTACCTATTTTTATTTATTAATTTTTTATATTTATTTTTATTTTTTTAATATTTTTATTTAGTTCATATTTTGTTTGTTTTTATTTTTATTTATTTAATGGAACTTTAAGTGGGGACCAAACTGTCGAAATATCGTTTTTATAAGTTCACTCCTCATATTTTTCATGTCAGTCAAGAAGTTTATTTCAAAATTTATTTTACCATATAAATTCGTATAATATATTGAAAATTTCTAAATAAAAATTGTTATAACTCAAAAAAACAAAAAAAAAATTTCCTAAAAGAAATTTATAATTTTCTGAGAAAATAATAAAAAGAAACTACAAAATCATTGAATTTTCAGCTCGCTATGATTTTTCCAAGTCATATATATCTCTAATTTCTAACCACCATAACTCTATTAGTTTTAATAATATCAAAAAATGTCAAATATCATTTTTATATAAAACTTTATGCTTTACAATTTTTATTCAAAACTTTTTTTTATAGCACCTACCGTTTTTAAATAACCTCTAAAAAACACTTTATTTTCTTGTTTTTTGACTTATATCAAAAATTCCTCCAAAATTTTGATTTGATTGGACTATATAATTGATTTTATGATGTTATGTCACGAAAAACAGCAATAAACCATCTCCATAATGCTTTAATCAATATGCATTCTTAATATTAAACTTAAGGATGCAAACAAGATGTTTTCTAGGTGTGACATCTCATTGATGACCACAATTTCCAAAGAAAATCTGCAGCATTGGCTGTCGCAGATATTTCATATGTATCTTAGCTACTAAAAGTATCTAAGATACCTTATAAGTATCTTAGAAACTTTTAGAAGTATATTAGATACTAAAAAGTACCTTGGATACTTTTAAAAGTATCTTTTTCAAAAACCATCTTAGAGAATTTCTTCGAAAGTATCTTAGATACTTTTTAGAGATATCTTGTATCTAAGATATTTTTAATACTTGCTCTATTTTAAAATAAACTCTGAACACTCCGTTTTACTGCATTTAAATACTCTCGGGCTTCTATTTTTAAATAAACTCTGAACACTCCCTTTAAATACCCTCGGGCTTTGCTCTAAACCCCCAATTAAGCTGTATAACCTATTAATTGGCATCAAAAAGTACAAATTATTCACTTACCTTAAAAGCCATGTGTTCCATGAAATGAGCAACTCCATTGTTGCTATCATCTTCATATCTACTTCCAGCATCTATCCAGATACCCACGGTGGCGGTTTGGGAGCCCCAATCTTCACTTGCAACTCTTAATCCTAAAAAAAATGATTAGAAACAGTTTAGAAAGATGACATAACATATATAACCTAAAAATTTTGATAAAATACATACCATTTGATAAAGTAGTAACTCTGGTAGGTGGAACATTAAGAACGACAGTTTTAGCTTCAGCTTTAGTAGCTGCGCCTCTTATTTTGTTACTGGAGGTCTAAAAGAATGATTTATTATATTTTATCAGACTTATGAATGTCAAAAATGTTACGTAATATTTTAACAAAAAAAAATTGATTTTACTTAAATACTGATAGTGATTTAAAATGATTTTTTTATGGAAATAAACATTTTACCTTTATTATATTGTCAAATTTTCTCAAATTTGAGAAAGATTTCGAAAATTTCAGGACCGACGCCATTTTGGTACTTTGACAGACACGGATAGAGTGACACTAATGACAGTAGTCTAGATGACAGTGACAGATGTGGTTGTGTAACGAAAAGGGTATGTTCGGATAGTCAAGTTCTATTCACTACATGAACTCTTTTAACTCCAATTGACCCATTTAGCGTTCGTTGATTTTGATCTTAGATAAATGGGTGCTATGATTGAACGTTTACGTTATCCGTAACGTACATGTTAGACCGAGTTTTAACAGTAACGAGGCAAGTTTGTGTGAGAAAATAATACAATATTGGGTAAAATAACCTATAAAACTATAATTTTCTATTGGTAGGTAAATCAAAAGGGAGCTTATTACAAAAAATATAAATGTTAACACTTATTGAGGTCTATTCTGTAACAATTCCTTTATATTTAACGGCCTTTAAAAATATTGGCGACCTTTAAAAATATGTTTGTATTCGTTAATTTACTTCTGTCATTATTTAAACAGATTTCTTTAAGATAGTCCTCTAATGTATTTTAAAGATCCGTTTAAATAATGACAGAAGTAAAGAAGAAAATATTTTTAAAGGCCGTTAAATATAAGGGAATTGTTACAGAATAGACCCCATTATAAAGGAAGGATGGAGATCTTTAAAAAAAAATATCTTCAGTATAATAAAGAATAGTTTTAAAAAAATATTTATATTACTTTAATTTACATTACGGAAACAAATTACATTTCAATATCATTTATTAACATTTTTCGTTTCCTATCTATACCCCATTTGAAATTATTTAAGCTACCATTTTTATTTATCACTCTATAGCATGGCACAAAAAATGCAATTTTATTTTTTGCAACAGCATTGGCTACAGCTCGGACAGCGTTTGGATGACCTATCCCTTTTGCTACTTCCGAATAGGTAGTTTTTCCTTTTGGAAGGCAAACAAGGTGTTCCCAGACTAGCATTTGAAATTCCGTACCAGTTAATAGTAATTTTACGTCACCAGAAACTTTAGTGTCAAACAATTTAGTTTTCTCTTTGATAAGTTCGTTATTTAATGATAAAATAGCATTGGAAAACGTTGCTGTTAATTCTTGAAAACCCGTATGGAAATCACCGAAATGAACGAAACAAATTTTTTCGTCATTGATTCCCATTACACATGTTCCGTACTTTGTTTCCGCACTCCCGTATGTTATGTTTAGATTTTTATTATTTTTTAATTCCTTTGGAGTAATTTTAAATATATAACTCATGTTTTTATATTTATGAATGAAAAACAAAGAAAATCGCAACAAAAACAGAATGTGAAATGTCAAATAGCGCAATCAAAAGCCAAGGATGAATATTATTAAACAGGATAGACTAGTGTCTTATATTTGTGAATTGTCTATTTGTGACGTCAAGACAGAACCTAACATAATTTTTTTAATCATTGTAATACAGTTCAAAAAATACGCTCCGACCAAAAAGAGTGTGATCAATTTGGTTACAGTTCGTTCAAAAACAGTCTAACGTTCAATTTGGACATTAAACTACTCTCGTTTAGAAAGTCGAGCGAGTCAAATTAGTCTAGAGTGCACTCTTTTTTACTCAGTTTGGACTGAGTTAATTTAAGTAAATTTGACAGAAAATAAAGTTCACTTGTAGATTAGAAGTTGTTGTTTCATATTATTGTCATAAAGGTGTTTGAACATGAAATTTTATAAAGTTAAGTTTGTTTTAAATTAAATAATCTAAATTTTTTTGTCCTATTGACTTTATAGACAAGGCCGTAACCAAAGGGGATCAAGGGGGATCGATCCTTACCCCGAAATAAAAAATATATTTATTTTAGACTTTTAATAAGTATTAAGGCCAATGTCAATGACAAGTGACGGCGACTATTTTATCACAAAAAATACAGCATAATATTATAATAACTGATATTTAACAAATATTTAAAAGTTATGGACTTTCCACCATTTTTTATAGTATTTAAAAGTTAAAACGCAAAATACATTCTTTTATATTTGCCTAATTATTTCAAGAATCTTGTGATAAGATTTTAAAATGAAGGGGCCCATAAGATGCTGCCATCTGAACAAACGGAATAGACACTAAAATGAAAATTTGCCTGTAACTTCTGAACTATGTTTTATTAATTTTAGTTGTAAACAAGAATCTGATGAGTACCTATATTGTATAGATTTAAATATACAAAGGGTCCTGTAAATATATCGACAAACGTTTAGGGGTGGCAGAGGGGACATCAAAATACAAACACTTAAAGCTTGGAGATCCTTTACTTTTCTTTAGTTCGTTCCAAGCTAGAATATGCATCTCTTATCTGGAACCTTATTTACAATATTCATAAAAGATCATTGGAAAATGTTCAGCGGCGATTTCTCAAGTACCTTTCTTTTAAAATAGATGAGCTGTATCCCATTCGAGGTATTGAACAATCTCTGCTTCTTTCAAAAATGGAAGGGTAGTTTCCAGTGTGAGATGTCTTTATAAAATATTACATAACACTATTGATGTACCATTTTTGATAAATCAAATAAATTTTAATATTCCCAAACAGCCATTAGATAACAAAAACATTTTATACAGCAAGTATTGGAAGGAACTTGGGAAGAAATTCACCTATAACGCTAATGTGCTCAAATTTTAATTAATTTTGTTCTGATTGGGATATTTATTTCAAACATTAATTGTACTAATTTGTAGCTAATGTATTTAGGATTCTTTCTCTTCTTTTTTTTCTTGCTGTTAGTTGCTAAAATTATTTTCTGTCGAAATATTATGTTTTAACATTTATTTCATGTATTTTGTCCTGTAAATGGATTAATTTGTTGGGCAATAAAATTATTTTTATTTTATTGAGCAAAAAATGTTTATTTTGATGCACCTACCACCTTTAAAAGTTTGTCAGTATATTAGCGAGAAATCTTATTAATTCCCAAAGAAAAATATTTTTGGAATAAATTCCGAATTCTATTTATTATTATTATTTGCTATTTTTTAGGTTCAATGACTCGAAACATGATGATCAGCTACACCAAGAATATCCTTGATACTTAAAAAAAAATGGTATGAGATTAAGCAGATTGATGCTACGTCACATTGTGGTGCGAAGACGTGGCTTGTATAATTTTGGGGTATCAGTTGATCGAAAACTGTGCAAAAATAAATTTAAATCTGTATAGGCATCATAGATAGCCATATTTCGTACCACAATACGTCATGCATGAACCGGATGAGATTTCATCGGCTAAGTATCATTCCTCTGTAATGTTTTGTATGATTAGGAACATAAACATTGTAAACAATTATGACCAGGGTTTTCTAACCTTTTCCCTAGGTCAGAGAGAATAAATAAAAACGTAATAATGTATAGTAATAAAGATTGAAAATATATATATATATATATATATATATATATATATATATATATATATATATATATATATATACTTTTAAGAGTTTTATTATGTCAACCATAGTTTCATAACAAAAATGAAAATAAACTAAAATTATACATTAAAAATACATTCATAAATTTACTATATAACATTCATCGACTCTCTCCTGGCTAAAATATTACTTATCTATCTATTCAGCTCTGTTCCGTCTATTTTTTGCCTTTAGCCTCCTTCTGACACTTCCATTCGTTCTTATTCAGTGTTCAGAATATCAAGTGTTATACCTATCTGATGTTGGGTCCTGCAAAGTTCATTTTCAGTACACCTACTTATCTGACCTCTATATCGATGGCAATCTTGATTGAACATCCTTTTCTTGCCTATTTCTCTTATATTAAACCAGAACTCGCTTAGACTCTGATGCAAATGTCTAATTCGGCCAAAAAAACAGCCTTGGTACACAAATATCAATTTTACCGCTGGTTTCATTACAAAAAACTGGAGTAAAGGGTAAAATTATCTCTTGTCCAGTACACTCGTATACACTTGAGTATTAGCCTATATTATTTTTGATTGAAGACGTATACATTTAAAAATATCGTTTACTTAAAAATAAACATATAATTTTGATATTTTATTTAACTCGATCAAAACATTAAATTATTATTTTCCATTTATATATGGCTTAAACCGGACCTGTATGTATTCTAGTAGCTAACAGTGTTGCCGTCAGTTGCCGCCACATATTCACGTTTTATAAATTCATCGTGTTACATATTTGTTGACATAAAGAGATAGAAATTTAAAGTGACGTCGTGTATTACTTCGAATGAAAAAATCGATAATGCAATTTTCTAACAAAAAAAAAATCGTTACTATATGTCAAACAAGATTGAGTTGGGCCTAAAGGCTGTATGTCACGATACTAAATTAAGTCATTAATTTAGTACTAAATTTAGAACTAAAAATATTTTTTTCTGTTTGCAACGATACCAATTTTTAGTACTAAATTAACTATAGGCGCACGCGCATTGACGTATTAATACGTGAAACAAGCAGAGAAATGAAATATTCTGGGTAAAATAGACAAGTGAAGTAAATGGTGTTTTTATTATCAATTTGACATGACAACCAAATACAGCAATGCTACTATAAACCACGAAAAAACACAATAAAATCTACAAAATCAAACAAGCGAACTTTATTCAAGTCGATAATGCAAAATTTTCGCTAATTAAAAACAAAATGGTACAGAAAATACCGTCGTGTCAATTTTTTCTGTGAAAAACTTCTGCGCAACATTTCGACGCACTTTTAGTACTAAATTTAGTAGAAAATAAAACAAGTTCTAATTAATTAATGACTTTTTTTAGTACTAAATTTAGTACTAAATTTGCTGTTTGTAACGTAAATTTTTTTAGTACTTAAAAAAAATGCATTAATTTAGTTCTAAATTTAGTACTTAATTTAGTATCGTGACATACAGCCTTTAAAATGGAATGCCAATATCGCCAGGTGCCTGTGGTAGAACTAGTCCTCTCTAACGCTACTGAAAATGTAGCAAACATTTCATGAAAACGCTGTACTGGGGATCTATTTTCAAACTTGGGAGAACTTATTTCTCTCAAGATTTCCATGAGAAATATCTGTCAACGTGAAAACAGTATTTTAAAAGCCAAATGAGAATTAAAATTCTTAAAGGTTCTACAGTGACGTCATCACGCATGGAAGTAATCTATCCTGCAACAAACGAACGTTGAGATTCAGAAGAACTGTTACTGTCATTGTCACCTGTCAATGTTAATATTTATTTAAGGTTAAAAAGACCTAAAAAGCTTTTTTAGTTGATTAATAAATAAAATATTTCATCTTATTTAATCAATTATGGATAAAAACAAATCACAAACTTTTATTTTAAGTCTGAACGACTTCGGACAGAAGATCTGCACGTCTCAATCTGAGCCAGACAAGAAGTAAGATAACATCAACAAGTAGAAAGTTTAAAGGCACTAATAACACAACCAATTTTTAGATATATTTTAGACGATGAAGGTAATATGACCGAATATTACCCAGAAACATCTATTTCAGCAGTTAAACTCGACTCACAAGGTAATATAAGCGAGGAAGATAGCAATGATACTAGTAACAGTGAAACTCAAATGAATGCTTTGGAAGATCCTACCCATTTAGGTAAGTTAAATGATACATTGGACTATAATGTATACTTTAAGAAACGTTTTTAATAAAAAGATACATAGAATCTACTTGTTTTAATTTTATTGAAGGTATAATGAATGCATTAGATGGTGTCTCTGAATTCGAAGAAAATCTGATGAACGAATTAGATTCTGATTTCATGAGCATGGTACCAAACCCCCAATCTCAATATATAATGCAACACATGGACATAAGAGAACCCTTGACGAAGCTTAGAAAACTTATTGAAAATAGATTGGGCGTAGGACTGCAGGGATATGTTTTTGCTCTACAGGGTGTTCAAATTGTAAGTAATTGTGTATTTATTTTCAATTTAGTCGATCTAATTAGATATCCAAAATATATGAAAATAAATGAAATATTTAGATGTTTATTTAGAAAATTAACTAGATATTATCAGTAGCGTAACCACAGAGGGTTTAGAGGGTAAGAACCCCCCATAGAAGGCATTCTTGTTACCTTTTTCTATCATTTTATAAAAAAATATTTATTTTGATTTCATTTTTTAATAAAAAACAAATCTTATCTGAAATATTTCACTTTGTTGATGGACCACCGGTAATTTTTAATTAGTGGTAATTATTACCAACAAATTGGGGTAATATTTAAAAGAAAAATTGTTTAAATATTCTAAAAATGTGGCATGCCAACCCATAAATGCTAAAGGTATATTTATTTCCTTTTCTTTTTTATTTAAATAGAATTGTCTCATCTTTATTTTGAATGATCAATGGGTTAATATATTGTATATATTTCAGCTTGAAGATGATAAAAATTTGGTTGAACAGTGTGTTCAAGGGGAAGGGTTGGTACAAGTGAATGTTCAAGTTCAAACTAATTTAAAAAGGATTAATATTATTGATGTATTGAAACCTGCAGAAGACTACGTGCATATTGGTTTGTATATAAATTGTTTTCAAAAAATTATTGAATATTATTTAAGTTTGTATGTGTTAAATATGAAAAAATTAGATAAAATTACACATAATTTGACAATCAGACTTTATTAGATTCAATTAATATACAAAACTATACAAAAATATACAAAAATATACAAAAATATACAAAAATATACAAAAATATACAAAAATATACAAAAATATACAAAAATATACAAAAATATACAAAAATATACAAAAATATACAAAAATATACAAAAATATACAAAAATATACAAAAATATACAAAAATATACAAAAATATACAAAAATATACAAAAATATACAAAAATATACAAAATTATACAAAATTATACAAAATTATACAAAATTATACAAAATTATACAAAATTATACAAAATTATACAAAATTATACAAAATTATACAAAATTATACAAAATTATACAAAATTATACAAAATTATACAAAATTATACAAAATTATACAAAATTATACAAAATTATACAAAATTATACAAAATTATTCAAAATTATACAAAATTATACAAAATTATACAAAATTATACAAAATTATACAAAATTATACAAAATTATACAAAATTATACAAAATTATACAAAATTATACAAAATTATACAAAATTATACAAAATTATACAAAATTATACAAAATTATACAAAATTATACAAAATTATACAAAATTATACAAAATTATACAAAATTATACAAAATTATACAAAATTATACAAAATTATACAAAATTATACAAAATTATACAAAATTATACAAAATTATACAAAATTATACAAAATTATACAAAATTATACAAAATTATACAAAATTATACAAAATTATACAAAATTATACAAAATTATACAAAATTATACAAAATTATACAAAATTATACAAAATTATACAAAATTATACAAAATTATACAAAATTATACAAAATTATACAAAATTATACAAAATTATACAAAATTATACAAAATTATACAAAATTATACAAAATTATACAAAATTATACAAAATTATACAAAATTATACAAAATTATACAAAATTATACAAAATTATACAAAATTATACAAAATTATACAAAATTATACAAAATTATACAAAATTATACAAAATTATACAAAATTATACAAAATTATACAAAATTATACAAAATTATACAAAATTATACAAAATTATACAAAATTATACAAAATTATACAAAATTATACAAAATTATACAAAATTATACAAAATTATACAAAATTATACAAAATTATACAAAATTATACAAAATTATACAAAATTATACAAAATTATACAAAATTATACAAAATTATACAAAATTATACAAAATTATACAAAATTATACAAAATTATACAAAATTATACAAAATTATACAAAATTATACAAAATTATACAAAATTATACAAAATTATACAAAATTATACAAAATTATACAAAATTATACAAAATTATACAAAATTATACGAAATTTTACGAAATTATACAAAATTAGATGGAATTAGAAAAAATTAGACAAAATCAGACAATCAGACTTTATTAAATTAAGTCAAAAAAGTCGAAAAAAAGTCATTAAAAAGTCAAAAAAAGTTGAAAAGTAAAAAAAAGTCAAAATGGAAAATTAAACTTATGAAAAAATCTATTTTGTTTTTCATAGTTTAATATTCATATATTATTTATTCATGTCAAAAAGTCAGATAACGGTAAAAAGTAAAGTCAAAAGTAAAAAAAAAGTCAAAAAGTCAAAAAAAAATAAAAAAGGCTAAAAAGTCGAAAAAAGTCATAAAAGTTAAAAAAAGTCAAAAAGGAAAAATAAAAGTTGGTATATTTATTAATATTCATGTCAAAAAAAGTAAAAGTCAAAAAAGACAGAAAAGGAAAAAAGTCAAAAAAGTAAAAAAAGTAAAAGTAATAAAAAACTAAAAAAGTTCAAAAAAAGTAAAGTAAAAAAGTCAAAAAGTAAAAAAGTCAGTCATAAAAGGTAAAGAAGTCAAAAAGGATAAAAGTTGTTGGTATATTTATATGTTAATATTCATGTCAAAAAGTCAGATAACTGGAAAAAAGGAAAAGTAAAAAAAGAAAAAGAAAAAAGTCAAAAAATGTCCAAGTCAAAAAAGTAAAAAAATAAAAAAAGGTCAAAAAAGTCAAAAAGTTAGAAAAGTAAAAAAAAAGTAAAAAAAAAGAAAAAAGTAAAAAAAAAGAAAAAAGTAAAAAAAGTCAAAAAGTTAAAAAAGTCATAAGTCTGAAAAAGAAAAAAGTAAAGTAAAAAAAGTGAAAAAAAAAAAAAAAAAAAAAAAGTCAAAAAGTAAACAGGCTAAAAAGTCGGAAAAAAGTCATAAAAGGAAAATGAAAGTTGTTGGTATATTCATGTCAAAAAAAGTCAGATAACTGGAAAAAAGGAAAAGTCAAAAAGACAGAAAAAGAAAAAGTCAAGTAAAAAAGTCAAAAAAAAAAAAAAAAAAAAATAAAGTCAAAAAAAGTCAGAAAAATAAAAAAGTAAAAGAAAATAGTAAAATAAAAAAGTCAAAAAGTGAAAAATTAAAAAGTCAAAAAAGTAAAAAAGGCTAAACAGTCGAAAAAAAAAGTCATAAAAGTTAAAAAAGTTAGAAAGGAAAAAAGTTGTTGATATATTTATATATTAATATTCATGTCAAAAAAGTCAGATAACTGGAAAAAAGTCGAAAAAGTTGAAAAAGTCAAAAAGGAAAATGAAAGTTGTTGTTGTCAAAAAAAGTCAGATAACTGGAAAAAAGGAAAAGTCAAAAAAGACGAAGAAAAAAGTCAAAAGTCAAAATGTCAAAAAAAGTCAAGTCAAAAAGTAAAGTAAAAAAAGTCCGAAAATTCAAAATTATTAAAAATAATTAATTCCTTGCCGAAAAAAATTTAGATGCTTCAGGTGCGCGAAAGAGCATTAGAAGTCGTTAATATTTTGTAAAACCCAAAATGAAATAACTAAAAGTTGATTATAGTACGTGTCATTAGTTTAAAATTTTAAATAATACTTATGAAAATGAAAAATTAGACAAAATCAGACAAATCAGACTTTATTAAATTTAATTAGACTTGATTTAATTAGACAGACTTTAATTAGACATAATGTATATTAGAATATTTTGTCTAATTAGACAAAATCAGACAATCAGACTTTATTAAATTTAATTAGACTTGATTTAATTATACAAAAATAGATAAAAATAGACAAAAATAGACAAAAATATACAAAATTAGACCAAAATTAGATAAAATTAAATAAAAGTAGACAAAATTAGAAAAAAATTAGACAATCAGACTTTATTAAATTTAATTAGACTTAATTTAATTAGACTTAGACAAAATTAGACTTTGTTAGACTTAATTAGACAAAAATAGACAAAATTGAACAGCATTAGACAACATTAGAGGAAATTAAAAAAATATATATACAAAATTAGTCAAAATTATACAAAATTAGCCTAAATTAGATAACATTAGACAAAATTAGATTTTATTAAATAATGAAGTTTAATTAGACTTAATTAGACTTAATTAGACTTAATTAGACTTAATTAGACTTAATTAGACTTAATTAGACTTAATTAGACTTAATTAGACTTAATTAGACTTAATTAGACTTAATTAGACTTAATTAGACAAAACTAGACAAAATTAGATTTTATTAAACTTCATTAGACTTAATTAGACAAAAATAGACAAAATTAGCCAAAATTAAACAAACTTAGACTAAATTAGACTTTATTAGCCTTAAAAATATACAAAATTAGACAAACTTAGACAAAATTAGACTTATTAGACAAAACTAGACAAAAATAGACAAAAATAGACAAAAATAGACAAAAATAGACAAAAATAGACAAAAATAGACAAAAATAGACAAAAATAGACAAAAATAGACAAAAATAGACAAAAATAGACAAAAATAGACCAAAATAGACAAAAATAGACAAAAATAGACAAAAATAGACAAAAATAGACAAAAATAGACAAAAATAGACAAAAATAGACAAAAATAGACAAAAATAGACAAAAATAGACAAAAATAGACAAAAATAGACAAAAATAGACAAAAATAGACAAAAATAGACAAAAATAGACAAAAATAGACAAAAATAGACAAAAATAGACAAAAATAGACAAAAATAGACAAAAATAGACAAAAATAGACAAAAATAGACAAAAATAGACAAAAATAGACAAAAATAGACAAAAATAGACAAAAATAGACAAAAATAGACAAAAATAGACAAAAATAGACAAAAATAGACAAAAATAGACAAAAATAGACAAAAATAGACAAAAATAGACAAAAATAGACAAAAATAGACAAAAATAGACAAAAATAGACAAAAATAGACAAAAATAGACAAAAATAGACAAAAATAGACAAAAATAGACAAAAATAGACAAAAATAGACAAAAATAGACAAAAATAGACAAAAATAGACAAAAATAGACAAAAATAGACAAAAATAGACAAAAATAGATAAAAACATAAAAATAGACAAAAATAGACAAAAATAGACAAAAATAGACAAAAATAGACAAAAATAGACAAAAACAGATAAAATTAGATGTAATTTTCGATTATAACAAAAAATATTGAATTAATTTTATAAGTACACAAATAAATTTAATTTTTAGAAGATTCAGATATGGAAAAGATTCCAATTGACGAAGATTCTAAGGACGAACAAACGAAAACTACAGAATTATCGAACAAACCAAAAAATATTGTACAGTGGCAGGTGGATACGAATTATAAAAAAGAACAAGAACGACTGAAAATTCCAACTGATCCAAAAGAATGGTAAGTATTTTACGAAAAATGAACTTAATACACGATTTTACAGTAAAAGAAATGTTAATGTGACGATATCTTAATTTATTTATAGTTTATTTATTTAAAACACACTATTTAGTCAAAAATAAAAAAAAAGTTAAAAAGTCAAAAAAGTAAAAAAAAGTCAAAAAAAGTCAAAAAAGTCAAAAAAAGTCAAAAAAAAAAAGTCAAAAAAAGTGAAAAAAAGTCAAAAAAAGTAAAAAAAAAAAGTCAAAAAAGTCCATCATTTAACTTTTCTGTCTAACACTTTTTACTAAACTAAACTGTGCGCCTATGAGCCGGGCTATATTTATACCAAGTCCAACTCCTGCTACGAGAAGTCTCTAGATGCTCCCGAAAATTCCATCTCTGACTCAACGACACTCTCAGCCCGTTCTAGCCGTTTCTAGAGCGTCAGTGGCATTCCTGGGAGATTCCGTCATTTTAGACAGGGTCGGCTTAGGAATTTCGTGACATTATTTAATTTTCAAAGTAATTACTGTTTCTTTTTTAATTATTTTAGGACGACGCTGCATGTGAGACATTGGGTGCAATGGGCTGTACGTCAATTTAACTTAACTAATATAAAATTGAGTGACTGGTTTATGGATGGCAGGCAATTGGACACTTTGACCATTCAAGACTTTCAAAAGATTGTACCTAGTGATCCCGGAGACATTTTTTGGACACATTTGGAGTTGCTAAGGAAAATGAAAGTTGTTGGTATGAAAAAATTTATTTTATTGTGTTTTTCATAGTTTAATATTTATATATTAATATTCATGTCAAAAAGTCAGATAACGAAAAAAAGTCAGAAAAAGAAAAGTCAAAAAAGTCAAAAAAGTCAAAAAAGTCAAAAAAGTCAAAAAAGTCAAAAAAGTCAAAAAAGTCAAAAAAGTCAAAAAAGTCAAAAAAGTCAAAAAAGTCAAAAAAGTCAAAAAAAGTCAAAAAGTCAAAAAAGTTAAAAAAAGTCAAAAAAGTCAAAAAAAGTCAAAAAAAGTCAAAAAACTCAAAAAGTTAAAAAGTAAAGTCAAAAAAGTCAAAAAAACTAAAAAAGTAAAAAGTAAAAAAATTAAAAAAATTAAAAAAATTAAAAAAATTAAAAAAATTAAAAAAATTAAAAAAATTAAAAAAATTAAAAAAAGTCAAAAAAGTCAAAAAAACTCAAAAAAGTAAAAATTAAAAAAATTAAAAAAGTCAAGAAAAGTAAAAAAGTCAAAAAGAGTCAAAAAAAGTTAAAAAGTCCAAAAATTCAAAAAGGAAAAAAGTCAGGAAAGTAAAAAAAAATTTTTTTCCAATTTTGAGTTAAGTATCTTCAAAATTCAAAATTTGCACTTTTTCTCAAATATCTCAAATACGGTCCATTTTAGAGAAATTATGAATAGGACAAGAATTATAGAGAATGACATAACTTTTAATTGAAACATTTTCTTAAAGATTTGATTTTTGCTCTGAATTGTCATTTCTAGCTTTTTAAGATAGCTATTAAAAAATAATTTGTAAATACGATTTTATAATATGTAATATTTTTTTCCACAGCAACAAAAAAAGAGGACCAACCTAAAAGGATAATTCCAAAAATAGTTAAAGTTAATAAGGTGATTATTAATATTTATATATAATTTTTGAATTTGGGAATTTTACAGTTTTCTCATTTTCAAATTTTCCCATTTTCTCATTTTTCCAGTTTTCCAACTTTCCATCTTTCCAATTTTCCATCTTTCCAATCATTCAAGTTTCCACTTTTCCAATTTTTCATTTTTTCAAATTTCCAATTTTTCATTTATCCAATTTTTCAATTGTCCAATTTTCCAACTTTCCATATTTCCAATTTTTTAATTTGTGAATTAACCAATTTTTAAAATTTCCAATTTTTTAATTTTCCATATTTACAATTTTTACAATTTTTACAATTTTTACAATTTTTACAATTTTTACAATTTTTACAATTTTTACAATTTTTACAATTTTTACAATTTTTACAATTTTTACAATTTTTACAATTTTTACAATTTTTACAATTTTTACAATTTTTACAATTTTTACAATTTTTACAATTTTTACAATTTTTACAATTTTTACAATTTTTACAATTTTTACAATTTTTACAATTTTTACAATTTTTACAATTTTTACAATTTTTACAATTTTTACAATTTTTACAATTTTTACAATTTTTACAATTTTTACAATTTTTACAATTTTTACAATTTTTACAATTTTTACAATTTTTACAATTTTTACAATTTTTACAATTTTTACAATTTTTACAATTTTTACAATTTTTACAATTTTTACAATTTTTACAATTTTTACAATTTTTACAATTTTTACAATTTTTACAATTTTTACAATTTTTACAATTTTTACAATTTTTACAATTTTTACAATTTTTACAATTTTTACAATTTTTACAATTTTTACAATTTTTACAATTTTTACAATTTTTACAATTTTTACAATTTTTACAATTTTTACAATTTTTACAATTTTTACAATTTTTACAATTTTTACAATTTTTACAATTTTTACAATTTTTACAATTTTTACAATTTTTACAATTTTTACAATTTTTACAATTTTTACAATTTTTACAATTTTTACAATTTTTACAATTTTTACAATTTTTACAATTTTTACAATTTTTACAATTTTTACAATTTTTACAATTTTTACAATTTTTACAATTTTTACAATTTTTACAATTTTTACAATTTTTACAATTTTTACAATTTTTACAATTTTTACAATTTTTACAATTTTTACAATTTTTACAATTTTTACAATTTTTACAATTTTTACAATTTTTACAATTTTTACAATTTTTACAATTTTTACAATTTTTACAATTTTTACAATTTTTACAATTTTTACAATTTTTACAATTTTTACAATTTTTACAATTTTTACAATTTTTACAATTTTTACAATTTTTACAATTTTTACAATTTTTACAATTTTTACAATTTTTACAATTTTTACAATTTTTACAATTTTTACAATTTTTACAATTTTTACAATTTTTACAATTTTTACAATTTTTACAATTTTTACAATTTTTACAATTTTTACAATTTTTTCAATTTTTCATTTTTCATTTTTAATTTTTTCAATTTTTTTAATTTTTTCAATTTTTTCAATTTTTTCAATTTTTTCAATTTTTTCAATTTTTTCAATTTTTTCAATTTTTTCAATTTTTTCAATTTTTTCAATTTTTTCAATTTTTTCAATTTTTTCAATTTTTTCAATTTTTTCAATTTTTTCAATTTTTTCAATTTTTTCAATTTTTTCAATTTTTTCAATTTTTTCAATTTTTTCAATTTTTTCAATTTTTTCAATTTTTTCAATTTTTTCAATTTTTTCAATTTTTTCAATTTTTTCAATTTTTTCAATTTTTTCAATTTTTTCAATTTTTTCAATTTTTTCAATTTTTTCAATTTTTTCAATTTTTTCAATTTTTTCAATTTTTTTAATTTTTTCCATTTTTTCCATTTTTTCCATTTTTTCCATTTTTTCCATTTTTTCCATTTTTTCCATTTTTTCCATTTTTTCCATTTTTTCCATTTTTTCCATTTTTTCCATTTTTTCCATTTTTTCCATTTTTTCCATTTTTTTCCATTTTTTTTTCCATTTTTTCCATTTTTTCCATTTTTTCATTTTTTCCATTTTTTTCCATTTTTTCCATTTTTTTCCATTTTTTCCATTTTTTTCCATTTTTTTTCCATTTTTTCCATTTTTTTCCATTTTTTCCATTTTTCCATTTTTCATTTTTCCATTTTTTCCATTTTTTTCCCATTTTCCATTTTCCATTTTTTCCATTTTTTCCATTTTTTTCCATTTTTTCCATTTTTTTCAATTTTTTTATTTTCAATTTTTTCAATTTTTTCAATTTTTTCAATTTTTTCAATTTTTTCAATTTTTTCAATTTTTTCAATTTTTTAATTTTTTCAATTTTTCCAATTTTTCCAATTTTTCATTTTTCCAATTTTCCATTTTTTCAATTTTCCAGCTTTCCAATTTTTTGTTTTTCCAATTATTCAATTTTTCAATTTTCCAAGTTTCCAATTTTTCCAAGTTTCCAATATTTCCAAGTTTCCAATTTTTCATTTTTCCAATTTTTCCAATTTTTCCAATTTTTCCAATTTTTCCAATTTTTCCAATTTTTCCAATTTTTCCAATTTTTCCAATTTTCCAACTTTCCATCTGTCCAATTTATCAAGTTTCCAATTTTTCATTTTTCCAATTTTCAATTTTTTTCAATTTTCCAGATTTCCAATTTATCCAATTACCCAATTTTTAAATTTTCCAATTTTTCATTTTTCCAATTTTCTAATTTGAATTTACCAAATTTTCAATTTTCCCGTTTTCCAATTTTCCCGTTTTCCAATTTTCTCTTTTTCCTATTTTCCAACTTTCTATCTTTACAATTTTTCCAATTTTTCATTTTTTTAATTTTCCGTCTTTACAATTTTCTATTTTTCCCATGATAAAACTTTCCATCTTTCCAATTTGTCAAGTTTCCATTTTTCCAATTTTTCATTTTTCCAATTTTCTAATTTTCCAATTTTCTAACTTTACAATTTTCTAATTTTCCAATTTTCTAACTTTACAATTTTTCATTTTTCCTATTTTTCAAATTTTAAATTTTTCAATTTTCCAGTTTCTAATTTTTCATTTTTCCAATTTTCCAGTTTTTCCCATTTTCCAATTTTTACAATTTTCCAACTTTCCATCTGTCCAATTTTTCAAGTTTCCAATTTTCCAATTTTTAATTTTTCCATCTTTCCAATTTTCCATTTTACCAATTTTTCAATTTTCAATTTTCCATTTTTCCAACTTTTTAATTTTTTAATTTTTTTTAGTCTGCCAAAAAAGATTTAAAAATCTTAAATTACTCAACCAACGTGCGGTACTTTGATCCAGCAACTTACACTTGCACCAATAATAAAACCGGAAGCAACGGTCAAATTCAATTATGGCAATTTCTTTTGGAATTATTGACAACACGAGATTATAAAACTGTCATTCAATGGATAGGTGAGTAATTTATTTTATCAACTCTCATCTATATACATATATTTTAAAAAAATGTACACATTTGTATCATAATGATATTATGTTTTATATAAATAAAAATTTTCCTAGGTTTAGTCGGTCAATCTTTTTATTTTCAGACGTTTAGCAATACATATGTTTCGGAAATTAATTTTTCCATCTTCGGGTGCAGTCAAAAGTTAAAATTTAAAAACAAAAAACACAAGGGGACGATTACAACCGTTTAAAAATTTTTAAAATAGCAAAACCCCATCTTTTCCTTTCATCGTGTGAAGCTGTATTATCCTTATTCAGATATTATTATGGTATATCTTTTCACTTGTAATACCACCAAAAGAAAATTTCAAAATTTAAATATTCTAAAATTAATAAAAAAAATTAAAAAATGAATAGTAATAATCACTGTTTTTTGATGTTTCTAATGATTGAAATCTTCTTTATACTGCTTGGTTAAATATTCTTTAAAAAGTTTGTGATAGAATCCCTTCTTCTCGTTATTATTCTGGTTACAATGGGTCTACAAGACACTGTTTCAATATCAAAAGTTAGAGAAAATTAGGGAAAATTAGAGAAAATTAGAGAAAATTAGAGAAAATTAGAGAAAATTAGAGAAAATTAGAGAAAATTAGAGAAAATTAGAGAAAATTAGAGAAAATTAGAGAAAATTAGAGAAAATTAGAGAAAATTAGAGAAAATTAGAGAAAATTAGAGAAAATTAGAGAAAATTAGAGAAAATTAGAGAAAATTAGAGAAAATTAGAGAAAATTAGAGAAAATTAGAGAAAATTAGAGAAAATTAGAGAAAATTAGAGAAAATTAGAGAAAATTAGAGAAAATTAGAGAAAATTAGAGAAAATTAGAGAAAATTAGAGAAAATTAGAGAAAATTAGAGAAAATTAGAGAAAATTAGAGAAAATTAGAGAAAATTAGAGAAAATTAGAGAAAATTAGAGAAAATTAGAGAAAATTAGAGAAAATTAGAGAAAATTAGAGAAAATTAGAGAAAATTAGAGAAAATTAGAGAAAATTAGAGAAAATTAGAGAAAATTAGAGAAAATTAGAGAAAATTAGAGAAAATTAGAGAAAATTAGAGAAAATTAGAGAAAATTAGAGAAAATTAGAGAAAATTAGAGAAAATTAGAGAAAATTAGAGAAAATTAGAGAAAATTAGAGAAAATTAGAGAAAATTAGAGAAAATTAGAGAAAATTAGAGAAAATTAGAGAAAATCAGAGAAAATTAGAGAAAATTGAACAATTGAAAAATTGATAAAATAAAAAATTAGAAAAAAATGAAAAAATGAAAAAATGAAAAAATGAAAAAAAAAAAAACGGAAAAAATGAAAAAAATGAAATAAAAAAGTGGAAAAAAGTTGAAAAAAGTTGAAAAAAGTTGAAAAAAGTGGAAAAGAAGTGGAAAAAAAGTGGAAAATAGTGGAAAAGAAAGGAAAAAAAAAATAAAAAAAAAATAGAAAAAATTGAAAAAAATTGAAAAATTGAAAAAAAGGAAAAATGAAAAAAAAAAAAAAAAAAAATGAAAAAAAAAAAAAAAAATGAAAAAAAAAAAAAAAAATGAAAAAAAGGAAAAATGAAAAATATGGAAAAAAAAAGAAAAATGAAAAAAAAAAAAAAATGGAAAAAAAGGAAAAATGAAAAAAAAAAAAAATGGAAAAAATGAAAAAAATGAAAAAAAAAAAAAAAATGGAAAAAAATGAAAAAAAAAGGAAAAAATTAAAAAAAAAAAATGGAAAAAAACCGGAAAAAAAAAATAAAAAGAAAAAATGAAAAAAAAAAAAAAATTGGAAAAAATGGAAAAAAATGGAGAAAATAAAAAAAAAAAAATGGAAAAAATGAAGAAAAAAATATGGAAAAATGAAAAAATGGAAAAAAGAAAAAAAAATGGTAAAAAAGGAAAAATGGAAAAATGGAAAAAAGGAAAAATGAAAAATGGAAAAATGAAGAAAAAAAATAAAAAAAAATTGAAAAATTGGAAAAAATGGAAAAAAAAAAAATGGAGAAAATGAAAAAAAAAATTGAAAAAATGGAAAAAATAAAAAAAAAATGAAAAAAAATAAAAAAAAAAATTAAAAAAAAAAATGAAAAAATGAAAAAAAAAATTGGAAAAATGAAAAAAATTGGAAAATTCAAAATTTAAATATTCTATAATTGAACAAAAATAAAATAAAAAATGAATATTAATAATCACTGTTTTTTGATGCTTTTAATATTGAAATTTTCTTTCTAAAAATTCTATTACTACCTTAAGATCTGGAACTTTATGTTGTGCTTGGTTAAATATTCTTCAAAAAGTTTGTGATAGAATCCCTTTTCCCCGTTATTATTCTGGTTAAAATGGGTCTACAAGACATTGTTTCAACACAAAACAATTTGTTTAAGACCACTTTTTACTTTTTAAACTTGTAATTATCTTAAACATCTTGAGAAACATCCTGTATATTTTACAGGTAAAGAAGGAGAATTCCGTTTAAATCACCCCGAAGTAGTCGCCCATTTATGGGGCGAGAGGAAGAACAAACCCATGATGAATTATGAAAAACTATCTAGAGCTTTGAGATACTATTACGATGGTGATATGATATCGAAAGTTCATGGAAAGAGGTTTGTTTACAAGTTTGTTTGTGATTTAAAGCAACTTTTAGGTTACAGTGCTGTAGAGTTGGCGAATTTGGTGAAGCATGGAAATCCTAATGAAGCTTGATGAATTTAGTTGAGGATTTTTTTAAGAATGTTACTGTGATATGGGTTTTTTAATAAAAATTATTTTATAAATAGGTACTAGGTTTTATTCTTCAGTATGGAGTACTCCCCCCAGATGTTCCGACTATGTCTAAAATTTAATTAGTTCACCGTATGATGGATTAAAGCTTAAATTTATAATTTAGAGTTTTTGAGATATTGAAAATTAGAAATTTTCAAAAAATCAAAAAATAAAAAAAAAAATCAAAAAATAAAAAAAAAAAAAATCAAAAAATCAAAAAATCAAAAAATCAAAAAATCAAAAAACCAAAAAAACCAAAAAAAACCAAAAAAATCAAAAAATAAAAATAAAAAATCAACAAAATTAAAAAGAAATCAAAAAAATAAAAAATCCAAAAATAAAAAAGTAAAATTTAAAATTTGTTCTTATTCGTTTTTGAGTTATTTTCAAAATTCGAAATTTTCATAAAAATCAAAAATCAAAAAAATCAAAAAACTAAAAAATAAAAAAATCAGAAATCAAGAAAATCAAAAAAATAAAAAAAAGAAAATTAGGGAAACTTGGAAAATATTAGAGAAAATGAGAGAAAATTAGAGAAATTTTAGAGAAAATTGGAAAAAAATTGTGAAAATTAAAGGAACTTAGAGGAAATTAAAGAAAATTAGTGAAAAATAGAGGAAATTAGAGAGAATTAGAGAAAATTAGAGAAAACTAAAAAAATAAAAAAAATAAAAAAAAAATAAAAAAAAATCAAAAAATAAAAAAAATCGAAAAAGCAAGAGCAAAAAATTAAAAAAAAAAAAAATCAAAAAAATAAAAAAAATCGAAAAAGTCAAGAGCAAAAAATTAAAAAAATAAAATAAAAAAAAATAAAAAATCCAAAAATAAAAAAGTAAAATTTAAAATTTGTTCTTATTCGTTTTTGAGTTATTTTCAAAATTCGAAATTTTTATAAAAATTAAAAATCAAAAAAATAAAAAAATCAAAAAAAATCGAAAAAATCAAGAAAATAAAAAAAATTAAGAAAAGAAAAAATTAGTAAAAATTAATGAAAATTAGAGAAAATTTATCGAAAATTAGAAAATATTAGAGAAAATTAGAGAAATTTTAGAGAAAATTAGAAAATAATTGTGATAATTAGAGGAAATTAGTGGAAATTAGGGGAAATTAGAGAAAATTAGAAAGAATTAGAGAAAATAAAAAAAATCAAAAATCAAAAAAGTAAAAAAAAATCAAAAAATAAAAAAAATCGAAAAAGTCAAAAGCAAAAAGTTAAAAAATAAAAATAAAATAAAAAAAAGTAAAATTTAAAATTTGTTCTTATTCGTTTTTGAGTTATTTTTAAAATTCGAAATTTTCATAGAAATCAAAAATCAAAATCAAAAAACTAAAAAATAAAAAAAATAAAAAATCAAAAAATCAAAAAAATCAAAAATCAAGAAAATAAAAAAATAAAAAAAAAAGAAAATTAGAGAAACTTAGAAAATATTAGAGAAAATGAGAGAAAATTAGAGAAATTTTACAGAAAATTGGAATTTTTTTTTGAAATTTAAAGGAAATTAGAGGAAATTAAAGAAAATTAGTGAAAAATAGAGAAAATTAGAGAATTAGAGAAAATTAAAAAAAATAAAAAATCAAATAAATGAAAAAAAATAAAAAAAATAAAAAAAATCGAAAAAGTCAAGAGCAAAAAAATTAAAAAAATAAAATAAAAAAAAATCAAAAATCCAAAAATAAAAAAGTAAAATTTAAAATTTGTTCTTATTCGTTTTTGAGTTATTTTCAAAATTCGAAATTTTCATAGAAATCAAAAATCAAAAAAAATCATAAAACTAAAAAATCAAAAATAAAAAAAATCTAAAAAATCAAAAAAATAAAAAGTCAAAAAAATAAAAAAATTTAAAAACCAACCAAAATAAAAAAAAAGAAAATTAGAGAAACTTAGAAAATATTAGAGAAAATGAGAGAAAATTGGAGAAATTTTAGAGAAAATTAAAAAAATAAAAAAAATAAAAAAAAATCAAATAAATGAAAAAAAATAAAAAAAATTAAAAAAATCGAAAAAGTCAAGAGCAAAAAAATTAAAAAAATAAAATAAAAAAAAATCAAAAATCCATAAATAAAGTAAAATTTAAAATTTGTTATTCGTTTTTGAGTTATTTTCAAAATTCGAAATTTTCATAGAAATCAAAAATCAAAAAAAATCATAAAACTAAAAAATCAAAAATAAAAAAAATCTAAAAAATCAAAAAAATAAAAAAAAGTCAAAAAAATCAAAAAATTTAAAAATCAACCAAAATAACAAAAAATCAAAAAATCAAAAAAATTTAACAAATAAAAAAATGTCAAAAAAAGTAAAATTTAAAATTTGTTCTTATTTGTTTTTGAGTTATTTTCAAAATTCGAAATTTTTATAAAAATCAAAAATCAAAAAACTAAAAAATCAAAAATCAAAAAACTAAAAAATCAAAAAAATAAAAAAAAAATAAAAAAAAAAAAAAAAATCAAAAAAAGAAAATTAGAAAAAATTAGTGAAAATTAGAGGAAATTAGAGGAAATTAGAGAAAATTAGAGAGAATTAGAGAAAATTAAAAAAAATTAAAAAAGTCAAAAAAATAAAAAAATGGATTATATTAAATTTGAAGTCAAAAAAGTAAAGAAAAAGTCAAAAAGTCAAAAAAGTTAAATAAGGTCAAAAGAAGTAAAAAACAACTTTTATTTGAAGAATTTTTTTCTCCTAGCGTAAATAATAGATATATTTCATAAAGTAGAAAAAGACCCCCTATAAAGAAGCCTCCCCCTTCCAGATGTTCCGACTATACCCAAAATCTAATTAGCTCACCGCATGATGAAGTAAATCTTAAATTGTAAGTCAAAAAAATTTAAAAAAAAGTCAAAAGCCAAAAAGGTAAAAAAAGTCAAAAATTTATATATCCAAGGAGTTTATCGAGAGTGGGATGGTGTAATAATTATTGGGGTGGCCTTAGAGGGATACTATCACTTAAATTTGCATATTTAAGATGTTTATTAAGAGTGGGATGATGTAATAATTATTAGGGTGACGTTAGAGGGTCACTATCACTTACATTTTCATATCCTAGCTGTTTATTGAGAGTGGGATGGTGTAATAATTTACTAGGATGGTGTTAGAGGGTCATCATTACTTAAAATCCCGCATTTAAGGTGTTTATCGATAGTGGGATGGTGTAATAAATTATTAGGGTGGCCTTAGAAGGTTATACTCACTTACATTTATATATCCAAGGACTTTATCGACAGTGGGATGGTGTAATAATTATTGGGGTGGCGTTAGAGGGACACTATCACTTAAATTTGCATTTTTAAGATGTTTATTGAGAGTGGGATGGTGTAATAATTATTAGGGTGGCGTTAGAGGAACATTATCACTTAAATTTGCATATCTAAGATGTTTATTGACAGTGGGACGGTGTAATAATTATTAGGGTGGCATTAGAGGGTCATCATTAATCAAAATCTCTCATTTAAGGTGTTTATCAAGAGTGGAATGGTGCAATAATTATTAGGGTGGCGTTAGAGGGACACCATCACTTAAAGTTGCATATTTAGGATGTTTATTGAGAGTGGGATGGTGTGATAAATTATTAGGGTGGTGTTAGAGGGTCATCATTACTCAAAATTCCTCATTTAAGGTGTTTATCAAGAGTGGGATGGTACAATAATTATTAGGGTGGCGTTAGAGGGACATTATCACTTAAATTTGCATATCTAATATGTTTATTGAGAGTGGGATGGTGTAATAAATGATTAGGGTGGTGTTAGAGGGTCTTCAATACTTAATATTCCTCATTTAAGGTGTTTATCAAGAGTGGGATGGTGTAATAATTATTAGGGTGGCGTTAGAGGCACACTATCACTTAAAGTTGCATATTTAGGATGTTTATTGAGAGTGGGACGGTGTAATAATTATTAGGGTGGCTTTAGAGGAACACTATCACTTAAATTTGCATGTCTAAGATGTTTATTAAGAGTGGGATGGTGTAATAATTATTAGAGTGGCGTTAGAGGGACATTATTACTTAAATTTGCATACTTAAGATGTTTATTGAGAGTGGGATGGGATGATAAATTATTAGGGTGATGTTATCATTACTCAAAATCTCTAATTTAAGGTGTTTATCAAGAGTGGGATGGTGTAATAATTATTAGGGTGGCATTAGAGGGCCACTATCACTTAAATTTGCATATCTTAGATGTTTATTGAGAGTGGGACGGTGTAATAATTATTAGGGTGGCTGTAGAGGGACACTAACACTTACATTTGTATATTTGAGATGTTTATTGAGAGTGGGATGGTATAATAAATGATTAGGGTGGTGTTAGAGGGTCATCATTACTTAAAATCGCGTATTTAAGTTGTATATCAAGAGTGGCAAGGTGTAATAATGGATTCAAAAAATTGGATTTAGCTTTAAAAGAATTAACAACTGACAGTTTTAATTGGAACGAACATCGATTCAGTTAAAAAAATGTCGTTTTGGAACAATTTTAACAAGAAGATAGAGTTGGGTAATTTAAGCCTGTATTTATGGATGAGACGTGGGTATATAGCAAAGGAAGTGACAGAAAAAGTTGGCAGATGGAGTGATGACTACTGCAAATTAAAAAAAAAACAGTAGATGAAATTCGATACATAATTGTCCATGGTGGGTGGCATGAAGAATGGTTTATAAAAAATGCAGACCTTATATATACAGTGTGGAAACCACTTATGGAATAAAATTCTTTATGTCATTATTTTAAAAAATTGTAAAAAATGCCGAGACACGTCAACTTTTGAATTGAGTTGTGCGTTATGTAAACATAAATTTAAATGTACAGGGTGATTCACGCAAGTATGCCATAGTCGGTGTTGTTTTTTTTAATGAAACACCCTGTATATTTGCATATTTTTGAAATCCTCTTAATGAACCGATTCCAACAAACTGAATAATGTATGTATGCAAATATACAGGGTGTTTCATTAAAAAAAACAACACCGACTATGGCATACTTGCGTGAATCACCCT